TAAGTATAACATCAGCAAGGGATCTAGTGCCACTATACTATCGCAAATGGCGCAAGTTGAAGGCTCAATCGTCAAATGGGACGAAGCAGAAATTATTAAATCGGTACATTCACCGACATTGGCGAATTGCGCAGAAAAAATTGAAATATATAAAAGCAAATTGCATGATTCATGCATCAATTCTAGAGATTCTGAAGGGTTGCCTTCGGCCTGGAAATACTTTATCAAACGATTGGACAAATCTTAATTTATTGCGGCGATTTTAATATTTTTTCGCATAAAGTGCATTTCACTGAATTTCTATATAACGTTTTAATATTTAGTTAACCTATGCTTATTTTTTCGTATACATTTTTTGTTATTTGTAACAATAATTTTTATTTATTTTATTAGTCTGTATACATTTATATATATATTTCGCTCGTTATTTTATTTTATTTGTATTTAAATTTTTGTTCTATTTTATTTATATTCGAATGTTCTTAGCCTGACGATGGCCAACTGATTTGGCTGAAAACGTTAGCTTTACATTAAATTTTTTCTCAGCAAATTAAGGTGTTTTGTTTTTTGATTTATATACTATTGCTGAGTGTGTGTACATCAGTTATAGTTAATCTTGATAGCTTTTTTTAAATATAGTTTTTATATAAAATTTTCAAAATCTTAAACCTTTGGTATGGTTACTTTGATTCTCTGAACAATTCTCAAAACTTAATGTTGTAAATTTAAAATGATTTGAAATTTTATGCCTCAAATTGCATAAATGATTTGAATAATTTACAAGAAACTTTCTTTTTGAATTAATTTTTATAAATTATTATTATTTCAGATTAGTAATGTGCTGTTTTTACTATTTCCACCTCTTCTGACTCGGCTATTTCACCAATATGCCAAAGTGGTCACCCCCGGAATATATCTTGTCTGGGCCCTGCTATTGATTGTCGGCCTGTCATCCATTTATTTCCATGCAACACTCAGCCTTGTCGGGCAGTTACTGGACGAAGTTGCCATTCTCTGGTTAATGATGGCAGCTTTTGCCTTATGGTTTCCTCGGAGATATCTTCCAACATGCATGAGTGGAAATAGGTATTGTATTAAGTTTAATTTTTGATAATTAAGAAACATTAGGGAATAAATTTTGTTTATAGAAGATATAAAAAATTTATTGATGGAGATAAATCATCAGTCAGTCATTATTTTGCAATAAATTATAAGAAGGCAATTAAAAATACAGTGGTACCGCAGTATACGTCTGCTTTAGAATACGTCATATTTGGACGAAACAAATTTTGCTCGGTATACGACTTAATTCAATTATATGCGCCATCTATGAACAAGTAGCACTATTGGTGTACTAGACCAGACTAAACGTTCGCGGTGCCACAGTTTATAACTTTGTTAAATTTCTTCTGATTTTAATTTGTAAGTAAAATTTTATTATTTTTATTAATCATGAATTGCAAAAAGGCAAATGAAAAGCAACAGAAAACTAAAAAAATTTACTAGAATCATAATGGAACTGAAAAAAGAAATTTTTGAGAAAGACGAAGGTGGCACGCGTGTTCGAGATTTAACTGTTGCACACCGTATTCCGAGAACGACGATATCGACAATCATGAAAAATAAAGACATTATTAAATCTGCTAACGTTGCGAAAGGAGTTAAATCAATTTCTAAACAGAGATCGAAGACATTAGATCATGTTGAGAAATTGCTTTTGCTTTGGATAACTGAAAAACGGTGTGCTAGAGACAGCGTATCGGAAGCAATTATTTGCAAGAAAGCTAAAAAAATACATGCTGATCTCATGAAAAATCAAGCAGGAACTAGCCAGCCAGGAAAGCGAGGTGTTTAAAGCCATTTTTTTACATGAGAACGGATTAATCATTATTATCACATACACTGAACCAATTTACGGTGTGGTACGATAAACAATGAAAAAATAACGAAAAACAAACGTTTTTGAACCCCTTCGAATGAAATGGGGGGTGTCCCACCATTTTTAACATCTTAAATAATGGGAAGGACCCTCCTAACCCCAGCAGAAGACCAGGAGTCTATAGTGTCCCTTTGAGAGACAACAGATTCAATAGGGATTTAGTATATATAAGCTCTACTGAAAGGTCCGTAGGCATCAGAATGCAAGAACATCAGGCAGATATTCGTCATGGGAGAACCGACACGGCCCTCGCAACATACGTAACGGACCCGGAAATAGTTGCCGACTTTACTCGGGCCAATCTCCTCCTAGGCACACCTCCCAATGATCATCTCAAATGGTTAGAGGCGATGCACATCTTTAAAGCCTCTATCGAAACTACATGCATAAATTTTAAAGAGGAGATGCTTTTGTCGATGGCCTGGCAAGAGTTGATTCACAACACGATTTAGCCACCCGTTATATTTGAGTAGGCAGACTCAGCACGCATGCGCGTCGTATAAGTTTAAAAGAACGATTCAAACTGAAGATCGAACTTATTTTAACGACATTCGTTATTCGAACTTACAAGCTAAAACTAAGAACCTGATGAAGAGCCCAGAAGGGATTCAAAAACGTTTGTTTTTCGTTATTTTTTCGTTGTTTATCGTACCACACCATAAATTGGTTCAGTGTATGTGATTATTATTGAGGTGTGATGAGTAGTTTGTTTCTATAGTTTAGCAATGCCAGCTTAAAAAAAAAAAAAAATCGGATATTTATTGTCTTTGGGGCCCCATTCGCTTTGTTAGCTTTATTGCCTAGTTTTGTTCTATCAGAGCCTGTTTACTCACTTCTTGTTGACACTGGAGTCGTTTTGAATGAGGCTGTCGGGTACTTCCCTGCTTTTCGTGCCTCTTTCCTTCACTGGCACAAGTCAGTACTGCAGCTTTGGCGTTTGCCATGCCCCCTAGCGTGTGCAGCCTTTTCTCATCTTAGCCAAAATATCGCGTGCTTTCTTTGCGGCCTTTTCGGTTTGCGGCCAGCACTTTCCCACTATACTGACACAAAACTGTATAATCTAAACCCTCCTTCTTAATTTGTGTATCTTTATCTGAACATTTTAAAAATTTGCATACACTAAATAAATAAAATTCAAACACTATTCCTCTCTCTCCAAAATAATCCTTTGCACTGAGTCCATAACTTACTTTTCCTTGCCTCCTCCTCAGCACTGCTCGCCACTCATTGCTCACGTTGCTTGGTAAAAAATTCTAGCCATAAGTACTAATATTATTAAAGCATATAAGCAGAATGTATTGAAACACCCTACAAAAGAAACCACCCTCAACTCATCATCAAGAAGAGTCGGTCTACTTCACCACACAGTACTACCCACCTGCTATAATCAAAATCAGAACTTCTCTAAAAAAAAAAAAAAATCTTGGCCTCTTTGTGCTCTCTGAGCAGCAATGGGCCTAAAACCACAAATTCAAAAAAAAAAAAGCTAAAATCTACCGTAGAACAAGGATTAATCATTTTTACATTACTTCTGATGGGAAAGGTTGGTTCGGTATACGTCCTGTTTGGTATAAGTCCAAAACATCAGGAACGGATTAAGGTCGTATACCGAGGTTCCACTGTATTAGAAATGATGTGACAATTTTTCAAGATACTTATTTTCAAGTTGGTTATAGCTTAAAGTTGATTTTATGTACAGGGTGGGCCAACGAAAACAAAATGGCAGAGTTATCGTGTTCGTCCAAGCAAATCACTCGGACAGGTCGATTTTATTCTCAAGGGGAAATATTTTTTTCCTTGCGTATGCGGTCCAGCTTAAAAGGTTTTTTTTATGTTTGTTAATAGTTTGTGTTACTTTTTTTCCGAAATAAGTGTTTGTTTAGTTAATAAAAAAATGAACGAGTTTTTAAAATTTTTTGTTGTCTGTTGTATTCAAAATCGCAAAAACTTTATTGCAGAAGATGTCCCCTTTCAGAATAACATGCTTGGACAAACACGATAACTCTGCCGTTTCGTTTTCGATGGCCCACCCTGTATATATATAGGCTTGTTACACCTGGCATTTCCTGGGTTTATAAGACAGAAATTTAAAATATATAACATTAATAATTTTACAAAAATATTTGCATTCTTAGATGTAACAACTTGACTTTAATAGTGAAGAAAACAGTTTGTTTTCACAGTATAACTTGGAAACATCAAGACATTTTTCTGACATCACAAATTATATTGTTGGCATTAATTACCCTTTGTTTATGTACTTTGAATTGTAAGAACAGGGTTGCTTTTATGATAGTTCTGTATGATTAAATGTGAAGTGTGATATTTTTGATTGTGTTGCATTTTTTTATAGCACAATTCATGATTCTCCTCTACTATTTTTTAGTACTGTACACACTTGAAACTTTCAATGTAAGTCAATAGTTAAAAGCCACTAAATATTGAATGGAATTTTAATGAAGAAACCAGGGCTGTGGAGTCTGAGTCGGGAGGAATTTCTGGTCAGAGTTGGAAAAAATGTGTTGACTCCGACTTCTGCATTTTAAATTTACTTCAGTTTTTTTATTAACATGAAAGAAAATTTATTATGTATTTATTAATTTTTAAAAATCTTTTTATATTTTGTTATAATTCATTTATTTTAAATACAAAATGCATCAATTTAAAAAACTCCACCATACCTTTAAAATGCAGTCTATTTTACACACTTATTGAACGTTTTCGGTCAGATTCACAGACCTTCTTCAGGATCAAACTATCAGATTTTAAACTTGCAAAATAGAAAGCGGCAACATTAAAATTATAATAATGAGTATGCGCAATTGAGAAGATTATAGAACGTGCATTTTGGAATTTCCATTTTGCAAATTTAAAATCTGATAGTTCGATCCTGAAGAAGGTCTGTGAATCTGACCGAAAATGTTCGATAAGTTTTTTAAATAGTAATGCAGTTAGAGATATAAGCATCAATTTAATTTATTAAATATGTAGTGTTTGTAGTATTTGTTTAGTAGTTAAATTAATTATTTTGACACAATTGAATTTGAATATTTTCAATTCATTCTTTTATTATTTCCGCTCTAAATAAGTATTCTATTTTTCTGAATGAGCCAGACTAAGTGATCAGAGTACATATTTTTCTTTTCTGAACAAGGGGCTGAAGTAGCTAGATTGCATACTTTTTGGTTGGACTAACTCTTCTGGAAGGGTGAAATTGAAGTGGAAATGCTGTCGAATATATGTAGATGTAGAATTTTATTGCTCCCCTTCTCCTCTTGTTAAATATTTGTTAAAAATTAATTTTTTTATACAAATAAATATAAATGTAAGTTAAATATAAAAAATGCTAACCATAAAAGTATTTGGGTAAATGCCTGGGGCTCCTTTCAGAGTAAAGAGTAGGGTATACCCTATGAGTCCCTCTGTCCCCCATAAAATGACTTGGTATTTAATCTTGTTGGAGTCAGCCTACTAAAATTATCAGGAGTCGGAGTCGAGTGTTTTTTTACCGACTCCGCAGCCCTGGAAGAAACAAGTAATTTTGTTTGATTATCATAGTTCCTACACTGATGTAGAGAGAAATTTAATTGGGATGTGGAAAACCAAATACTTGTACAGTTTGTTATAGTGTAACACTTTTGACTCAATGTACATGTCTGTCGTGTGCTACTTATCGCAGTAATGATATAGCACATCTGTTATGCACTATATCATTGTCACACTAATTAAGTGAATATAATAATTGTTTTTTTTTAAATTCTTTTTTCTATGAATTATATTCAGTTCATTATTATTCTTTAAGTTGTTTTTTTCATGTACAAATGGCATTACATGTAAAGTCAGGAAGACTGATGTAGACAGAAATTAATTGATGTATAGAAATTAAATCAATATTTTGGGGTGATATGTATGATATTATCCACATTACATACATATTAATGTAACTAGAGAGATTCATAGCAATTAATTGAATAGCCTAGGAGAATACAATGAACAAACCAACATCCTCATTCATATACAGTCGACCCCCCCTATAACATGGTAGATATGTTCCGTTTTTTATGAAATTGATGTTTTAGGAGACCTTGCCAATCACAGCCTGGCACGTGTGCAGTTTACGGACTTACGGCTGTTTGAAAAGTTTTCTTCCATAAAATTAATCGATTCCTAGACTAATTCAACTCAACATTTCCAAAACACATAATTTTTTCAAAAATAATCCGTATTAACTATGCTATAAACAAAAAATTGTAGGATTACTTACCGAGTGTGCACCGTTCGACGTTGCCATTGCTTAAGCTTGTTTTTGTCGCGGAGCAGCGCACCAAACGCGGGCACGATTTCTGATAAATTATTTTTCTGCGAAAACTTCGTTAAACTTTGGAGTCATCATTAATATAAATAATTTTTATGGCCGTTGAATAAGAAATGTTTCTTTCACAAGAAATGTATAAAATTACAGTGCTGTATTAGACTTACGGTACCTAATTTAAATACTGTACAGATGATAGTAAACTCAATTTACCTGCCTAAACTCTCCGTAGTGTGGCGCTGGATGGTGGAAAGTAGTTTGGCTGCCCAATGACGTTTTACCGAATTATAGGAGTTTTTTTTACCATGTTTGTATGGATACCGTCGCAATTTTTTCGCCGTCATATAGGAATCCGAACTATAGGAACCCGTGTTATAGGGGGGTCGACTGTACAGGTATCCCTTGTACAACATGGCATTTCTACAATACCGTTTCACTCTAACACAATTTGAAAATTGGGGAAATCCTCCATATAATACAGTTTCCAGTTTTGTTCTAATATGGTTTGAGAATTTGGGAAATCCTTCGTACAAAACTTCACAACATTTAAGTGCAAACTCTGTTATTCTATTTCTTTGTAAAAGGCTGACAAAATTACAATTTAATAAAGTAAAAATTACATTATAGATACTAGTCATATCTTCACTGCTTGCCATGTCCAATCACCAGGAACAACTATTTTCTATTGCAGAGACAACCTTTCTTTAGAGGCTATGCCTCTGTACAAATACATAAAGAAAGTAATGTAATTTTTACTTTATTAAATCCATTATTCTATATTTTTTTATTCAAGTAATCATGCATGTCGTCTTAAATTTTCCCATGAATTTTAGAATATTGAAATTTTTAATTTATTTTGTACCTTTCAACAGGTGTATTTTAGTGAAAACTGAGAGTATAATTTTTTTTCTTTCCTGTCCTAGCTTTTCCATCAATTGGGTATCATTGTCGTTGCTTTCAGACTTTAGCCTTTAATAATGTCACTGTGTTCTGTTTTTATAGATTAAAATGTTTGTATTTAGTAAAATTTTTTAAAACATTTTATTTAGAAAGTTATAACTTGAATGAAACAATCTTGGCATTCCAGGTCTTAGGTTTTGACACTTCTTAAGGAAAGGTAAAGCCTTGTTCCTTCCAGCCTTTTGACCCTCCTAAAAATGCTCTCAATGATTTTGTTGTTTACTCTTTCACATTCCGTTTTTTTGATATAATTATCCAACGCCTTGTTGTAAGTTTGTCTCTTCATGATAACCAAAAGTTTATTTTTGTCCACTCTTGTTGCTACCGAATCATTTAGCCTCAGCCATCGTCTACTAAGCTGGATAAGACTTAAAGAACACAAGTATGACATCAGAAAAGGTTCCAACACAACAATACTTTCCCAGATAGTGCAGACCCAAGGCTTGATAGTAAAATAGGATAAAGCGATTATCATCGAACCCTTGTGCTCCCCAACATTAGCAAAGACCGCTGAAAAAAATTGAAATTTACAAGAGCAAATGCGAAGAGGCATGCATAAATGCAAGGGATGCAGAAGGCCTACCAAAGGCGTGAAAATTTATAGTCAAAAAGTTTGCAATTAACTTGTAATCTTACCTTAGTTTATAGTTACATGTTTTTTTCAATTATACCTTAACAATTTATTTCAATGTTTATTTAAAGTATTATTAGTGTATTTCTTTTTTATTTCTATTACTATATCTGACTTTGTTTTTTATTGTATATATTATTTTTTGTTATTTCTTATTTTTCCATTGTCAATGTTTTGAATTTGAACATAATTATGTATTCTATTTAATGGAACACCAATGTTCTAATTCTCTCATTAAACCTGAGGGTGGCCTATAGAGTAGGCCAAAAACGTTATTCTTCAATAAAACTATCTTGACAACAAGAAAGGTGTGTTGTGATAAGCTAAGCACATATTTAAAGTATAAATAAAACACAAAATGAAAACTCATAATTTTTTATAATTGCACTTTGAAAAAATGTTTTACATAAGTTTATTCTTTATATAGAATCAAAATATGCAAAAAAAAGGGGTTCTTATATAAGAAAATGAAGTTTATCTCTTTTCACTGATTGTAATATTATCTATGATATTACAATAATCCAAATATCTCTAAGACACAAGACGAAACTGTCTTAAAATGACTGTAATATCATAGATGATATTACAATTGTTTATAGATAGTTTCGTCTTGTGTCTTAGAGATATTTGGAGTGGCTAATTAAAATGGAACACTTGCCCTGTATAAAAAAAGCCTACCAGTGGCCAAGTGGATAAACCACTGAACACTTGTCATGGGTCCATGCCTGATCAACGGGCGGCCATATGGATTTTTCTGGGTTTTCTTCATATTAGTAACGCCTAAATAGGGAGCCAGTTTCCCCATAAGACCTCCTGGCTCCTGGGAGTCATTTCCCCTCGGCAAATTGCTTGTGTGTCATGTTGCCGTACTCAAATAAACCAAACTTCCTCTTGTATAATGTATAAATAGGGTGTGTGTGTCCCATTTAAAAAAATATATATACATATAATTTTTTTTATTTACTATTTGTGTATACTTCAACACTTACTGAAAAATGCTTTTTACTTTAAGTATGAGGGGAAACATGTCATAAGATTAATGATTATAATGTTGAGTCTTTTGGTATTGTTGATTTATAGGAAACCAGTAGTCCAGATATTTTTTCTAATAATTAATAAAAAAATTCATCAACCATTTAGAAGTGTGTTTTATTCTGTTTTTGTTTTTTCCAGAAAACTTTTTCAGCAGATAATATTAGTAGCTTCTGTTGCTGGTTCAATTCTTGCTTGTATACATCCTGCAACCAATGCCTTTTTTTTAATGTTTGTTGGTCTTCCATCGACTATACTTATGGGTGTAGAGCTTCGAAGGTAAGATATATAATGTGCTTTTCTTATCAAAGTAATTAAGTTATATCAATTATAGTATGCAATTTGATATAGTTTTATTAACTTTTATAACCACTTAAGACTACATCCTATGTGATAGCATCCAGCGCCCGCGGGCATGAATGCGCTTCCAAGTGAAGCAGACAAACTGATTCAAGGAAATGTGCGCGTCCGGAGTAACCGCATTTAGCATGCAGCGACCACCAGATGATGCTTCTAAATGCGCGTGCTGGAAGCAGCTACCAAGCTGCTTCCAGCTTGGTAGCTTTGATCGCCGCTTTCACTGCTCGCGCTTCCAAAGAAGAAAATGCCTGATTTTGTAGATAAATAAAAATGGAATGATAAATAAATTGTGTGTATATGTTGTATGTACTTTAATTAATAATCTTTTATGTTTTTTAATAATTTCTGATTTTGTATAAATGTAACGTTTCAAAAATGAAACTTTTTTTAACTTGTTATTCCATAAAGATTCTTTATATTTGTTGTGTATCTAGTTAGTGATAACATTTACCTTTCAAATTTACCATTTTAATGCTTGTCATATTTTCCATAGTAGCATTTGACAAAGTCTTTTCGCTGCCATCTTGTAAACAACACACGTCCACTCTGGACAGAAGTTGCTCACAAGTTGGAAGCGCATACAAAGATTCTTTCTGCCCGCGGTCGCTGGATGCTGCCACATAGAATGTAGCCTAAAAGAGGATTTTTTGGACAAATAAACTGAAATGTTATGTCCTTTGAATCTAACGTTCACCCGAGTTTAAGAATTACTGAAGACAATTTTTTTCCTAGATATTTTATTTAAATGCATTTCAGATCAAAGTTCTTGCCGATCCCTCTTCAGTAAAGGGGACTCTTCGATTGATGTCGGAGAGTGCCAAATATTGGTGTGTACTCAGTTGCAGATTGTATCTTTTACTGAAAAGGGATCGGCAAGAACTCCTATCTGAAATGCATTTAAATAAAATATCTGGGAAGAAAATTGTCTTCAGAGTAATTCTTGAACTTGGATGAACATTAGATTTGAAGGACGTAACATTTTGGTTTATTTGTCCAAAAAGTCCTCTTTCAAGTTGTTGTAATCATTTATGTTTATAACTGGCAAATATTGCTAGTTTTAGCTTTGTACTATAGTTTTATTAATTGGGAAATACAGAATGATTCTAAACCGTGGGGACGAACTTTAGGAATGGATTCTTGGCAGGACAAAGAACAAGATGGTTATACAGTATTAACATATGTCTGGAAATGCATTGGTGCTGAAAGAGATTATACCACTAGTATTATGAACTGCATATACAGGATATAATGTTCCACAAAGGTATGGCACACATGCCTCAGGCAGAATCACAGTAGACGTTCAAAATATCTTCCATGGACCTCAATGCAAGTGGTCGCGCATCACTTCACGGTATAACCATGGTATAATTGTGCTGTCTTCCAACCATTCCCGTTTTTTTTTTCTGTATGTGAATATTATGGCCTCTTGTTCCTGATAATGGTTTATTTCATAGCAATACTTGACCATGGACCTGTTTGGCAGACAGTCAATGTTCTACATTTTTGAATATATGTCAATAGGATTATTTTTATTATTTGTCTTTCCAGAAATCCACTACTGAAGTTTGTTCCCATAGTTTGGAACCAATCAGTATATTATTAACAACTTTAATACAGTAGAGCCTCGATTATCCGACCGTCATAGTCGGCAAATTTCAAATGTCCGCTAGTGATGTGGCGCTACAATATTTGCTATGTCTTGGCTACTTTAATAAAGGGAGCCAGTATTTAAACGAGGCTTAATTTTTTAATTTTTAACGATACAATAGCGACGATTATTATTTTTAAAAATTTTTGTTAGTCTTAACATCGATGAAAATTCAACGCGAAGTAGGTTAATAGCGATATACTAATTACATGGGATATACTAATATACTACACTACTAATGGATTTTTTCATACTTTTCGGTTATCCGACTTTTCAATTATCCGACCAGCTTCAGTCCCCAATTGAGTCGGATAATTGAGACTCTACTGTACATAAACTATCTCTCCATCAAAAGCAATTATTTTACAAAGTTTTTTAGTGAAAAGGAGTGCCAATTGACAAACTGGTGTCACAGTAAGCCATATTTTATGTATAGATTTAATTTCATATTTTATTTTGTTAATCATTTCTCTCTATCACTTTGTTCTTCTGTTTCTTTTGTTTTCTGTATTCCAAGAATTTTTGGACCCAATCCTTCTCTACTAGGGTGTGGGGTGACAAACAATAGAATGTGGGAAACCCTGAGGGCAAAACTCGCTTGGGTGAGACACATTTTGGCTGGACACTGAGGAAGCAGGAGGTTGTACAGTACAAGGAAGGCTCTGGGTTGTTTCAGCATTGATGAGAGCTGGAGTGTACAATATCAGAGTAAGAGACTTATAAGATCATAAACAAGATTTTAAAGTGGAAGACTCCTCAGAGAAAACCCTATATTTTGAGAAGAATAAAATGTTTGGAGCAGCACATCTGTAAGGACGTTAGCATCAGAACCGAGCCAGCATACGGAAAGATTCGTCTAGATTTTGGGTACCCCTTTTCTATGAATCCTTCCTTTTCTTCATCTTCAAACTATATGCTTATTTTCTTCATTTAGTTTTAAGTAGGTTAAGTTATTAGGTTAAAAATTTTATCTGTGATTGTAAAATCCACACCTGTATATTAGTTTCTTCAAAATTGTTAATTGTAACAACACCAAACGATCGCCTAATTTATCGGGCTATAATATGGCTATTTTAAATGATTGGAACTAAGTAATTTGACATTAGAGGTAGGCGTTAGCCGGCTGAGTACCGTTAGGGTCGTGGGCAAAGGAGTCGTCCCCAGCCAGTGATGTATTTAACCAAGTAAGGTTATATCTAAATCTAATATACTTCTGGAAGCGAAGACTAGCTCGGGGTCCGGGTGGCGTAACTGGCAAGCGCACCGCACGGCAAGCGGAGGTTGCGGGTTCAAGCCCCGCCCCGGGCCAGTTCTTTTATTCCAGAATGTTCTAAATTTATTTATTTAATTATTATTTATTTAATTATTAATTTAATTAAGAGATGGCGCCTAACGCCTACCTCTAATGTCAAATTACTTAGTTCCAATCATTTAAAATAGCCATATTATAGCCCGATAAATTAGGCGATCGTTTGGTGTTGTTATTATCTACTCGGGCTGTGAGTTGATGTTTATATATTGTTAATTGTAACAACATCCCACACGCGAAGAATTCATTGTACATATTATTATCACAAAGGAAAATCTGGGAGTTGTATCAGAGTTGGGACCTGAAATTTCATTGTTTGAACGCAAAAATAAAGTCTGTTCCTTGTGTATCATACTTTGTGTTATTCCCTTTCGCATAGAACATCACACTGGTGACATTCCCTGAAAATTTGTAGGAAACAGAAAATGTCAAATTTCTAAGAAACATGTTTACTGTTTTTACAAAATACATACATACAAAAGTAATCACAATTTCTAACTAAACAGAAGTTTCTTTAGCTTTATTGTACACCAAACTTGAGATTAAGTTTAAATTTTTTTTAATACATGTTTGTTAGTAACTCTGTTCAGCTGCACCTTGTCTAAATAATTTTTACTGGTGACAACTAAAAGATTTCCAAAATTTGAATAGTGTGTGCTTTAAAATTGATGTCTAACAGAAATTTTATTGCTGCTGTTTTCTTAAAAATAATTGTACGACATTGCTTAATGAATTTTATTACTTTTGTTGAATAGTTTTATCTATTTAAAAATATATAAATTTTTATAATAATAAATTTGATAGTTTGCATACGTATATGGATTTTTGATTTTCTCCAATTCTTTTTAGGTGTCGAAATGCACGAGTGGTCCGTCTGGGACTGAGATGCACCATTATATGGTTAGTTGCCCTTGCATGCTGGATCAATGATCGTCTGTTTTGTGATATGTGGTCTGCTGTCAATTTTCCCTATTTGCATGGAGCTTGGCATTTGCTGATAGCTATTGTTGCCTATACTGCTTGTGTGCTATTTGCCTATTTTGATGCCTGGAACGAAGTTCCCGAAAAGGTTCCGGTTCTCATGTACTGGCCGACCGATAAGTAAGTCAGACAAAACTCAATGCAAGTAGCCATTTAGAACTTCAAATAATTAATATAATTGATTTTAATGAATCCTGATTTGTGATTTACTATTAGCATATTTATGATGATTTGTCTTCAAAAATGTGAACCTAAAAAGTCTTCAATTTGTTCAGGTTTTGTGTAGTTTATATAAGTTGTTGTAATTTCAATATTGTAATGAAAAGATCTGATATTTTTTTCATAACAAGGTTGAAATTATAATAAAACTTGTATTATATAAATGTTACATTTTAATTATTATTGTATAACAAATGTGATTTGCTAAAGTTTTAATTTTTATGAGCTAGTCATTTGGTTATGTTATAATGAAAATGTTTTATATATATATAGTAGATTCTTCTTATTGTAATTGAAGATGTTATCAGTTGTTTTAATGCTGTCAGAAATAGCAAGTCCTAAAACACAATCATTAGATATTCTATAACAATAATCAAATTTTGATTATACTATGATCTTTACACTAGCTTAATCTGGCAGTGCAGAGCCTGTAGCATATACTATAAAATGTTTTAAATTTAAAAAATACACAAATATTTAGCACATCCTTGCTACTCTCTCACATCACATATCTTTCTAGATAATGTTGCATTTTACTTGTTAGTAATGAACTGACTGTAATTTCCAATGATTATATTTTTATTTTAAAACAAAAATATAATCATTGTATAACCAGCACTACAGTGTGTATACTTTGCACCTCTGAATTACTGTTGAAAACACATCACTAAATCCATTTGAAATTCAGAAGACACTGTCTCAGACAGCCTATTTTTCCCCATTTCTTCATTTTATATCTGTTAGTAATTCTTTGTGGATGCAGTTATTTTATAATAAGTGAAATGGAAAAAATATATTTTAAATGAAACAAGTAGAAAATTTATTATTTTGCTTTATTGCTTCCTTTTTTTAATGACATCATTTTTAGGCTTAATTTTCTTCAGTCTAAGAAGTTATGCTATTTTGTGTAAATAAAATAAAACATTGCACAGTTAAGCTAGACCTATTGCTTTAAATTTATATAATTATTTTGGTTGTTAAAATTTACTTCATAGCAATGAAAGAAACAATAGTATAGCCTCCTAAAACAGATAATAATTAAATTACCTCTTTTAGTCATTAAGGACATTAACTGCTCATTAGAAGTGATCTTAAAAAATTCATCTTTCATTGAATAGACTATAAATATATAACTCGACAGCCACCATCTAATCAATAATAGATCCTAGTAGTTCTAATGAACCATAGGATAATGTTGGCTGAAGCATAGTAGTACAGTTGAGTACAGTGGCCTAAGGTCTAGAAATGGGAATAAATGAAGCAAAAAATGATTATAAGCAGCATTTGTTCTTCATGTTAGAGGTGGCTGAGTTAAAAAAAAAACAACATACAAGCACACCCATTTCTGTGGAGAAAAAGAAAATTGCTGACATACTCTCTGCAGAATGCTGTCTTAGACATGACCCAGGTTAACAAATCTGCATTTAGAGGTTAGAGGCTCTAGTTTGAAAAATCTACTGTAGGTTTTCTTTGCAGCATTGGTATAAGTATGGCTACTGCATTACAAAAACAAATGCCACCTCACTCTCATAATAATCAACAACAACCCAGCCAAAGTGCTTCAATGGCTCAATCCAGTCACTGACCACCAAGGCCAGAAAATGCTGCCAATAGATGAAGTAGATCCAAGACATGACTGTCTACAGACAGACTACATGAAACATCACAAAAATAAATCTCTCACTATTACATAAGAAAGGGTTGCTGATCAGAAAAGAATAACTGTACACAAAAACAATTATTCCACAAACATTTCAAACAAGGAGTTGTGAAACATATACATCAAAAGTAAAGATCACATTGTAGATGAAACACTCATTGACAACACCTTAATAACAGTAGGTAATAAAAGCATACATGAAATAGAAACCATAACAATTAAAATGGAAGATCTTGGACACAGAATTAATTAGTGCATTCACATTTATTTCAAGATATCCTCATGTAGGGTTAGATTGCACTCAGAGACTACAAATAATCAAAGTAAACACATTGAAGTAATTAGGGAAAACTCTAAACTATCAAAATATTACCAAAAAACATTTAGACATACCTACAGTTTGCTGCAGTACAGTCACTGTAATAACCACTATTTTACTAACATACCACTATTTTAAAGTATCACCACAGACAAATCAAACTGCACACAAATCACAACACTGCCTGGAATAGAATAATAGAAACATGAAAATAAATGATATTGGACAACAATTATGCAAATTGACACAATTCACTAAAAACATTACCATCTCTTTCCATAATTTGAATGTTAAGAATACAAATTTGGTCAAGAAAATTAAAACAGGCATGAAACATGAACAACGCAATACATACAGAAATACATTTACTCTTAAAACGTGCAGTCAAGTCATAAAGACTTGAAACAATGCAAAATTTGTAATCTATTAAAACAACAAAATTAATTATTTGCAAACAATGAAGTTTTTTACATACATATACAGTAACTAGCACATATCAAATTTGCAGCAAATGGCATATCAACAGGAAAAGAACTGACTATTGGTCTGTTCTTGGATCCAATCCAGTCGCATACAAAAGATGAAGTAAGTTAGATCAAGGAGAAAGAACAGAACATGCAAAATATACCAATCATGCCTTCTGCTGTATATGCATATTACATACACGATATCCAAAATGCAATACAAAGAATACAGTTGTCAGATGCCTACAATTTCAAATTTACAGTTGTCAGATATCTACAATTTCAAATTTACATCTACGCACTAGAAGCCAGCCAAACATTTTACACACAAAATCAACAATCTGCAATTCATCAAAATTTCGTACACAGTAAATTGCATACACGAAATCCAAAAAATGACAATACTAAAGACTATACAGACGAATTGTTTATCTTCCAACACTAGAATATCAAATCATGCATCACAAAATATCCACGTAAACTGACACAGCATCCTCATAAAACACCAAAAAACTTTGTTCGCATCAACATAATTCGGCGAATCGATTTTGAGACTTAGCGGTTTTTCGAGATTCCTAGGCTAAGTTCCAAAATCAGTTTACCGAATTACATGACGCAAGCAATTAAATAATACCGATAATGCCAAAAAAACAAACAACGAAAAGCTGTCATAGAAACCACAAGGGATACAAAGAAAATTACACACAGATTTGTTTTTTGACAAATACGCAAACAACACAAACTTACATAGCATACATAGATTATAGGAATGCATTTGAAGGCATCCCATATTCACTGTCAATATACATAACACACGTACAAAATACATCCAACATTTATTATATTTTTAGAAAACACAATGCACCACCGGAGAACAACACTATACCTCGGACTTCACGGCACATACCCATATTAAAACAAACCGAATACTGTACACATAAGAATTAGAAAATCCCCGATCTCCAGTCACATTTGTGGTTATCTCTGACCTTAAACCCTCGTCCAATAAGTTAAACCACACAAAACAAGATAAAACACGAAACACGATTACATCGGCCGTTAAAAATTATATACTTATTCCACCGACATACAAACGGAGTTCGGCCCAAACGAATACGAAATACGTGGAACCGGATTCCAAAGGCCCGTTTCGCATCATCCACTGATCGGACCGTCTTCAAGTTTACAAATATTTAAAATTCCGGCCGGCCAAGCCAAGAGAACCACGTAGGTACCGTATAAATAAAGCAGAAACAAACAAAGAAATACAATTACGGATTAAATCCAATACTAATAATACAGTCAATGCAAAACGCCTCTAAGCAGTCGACATACATTAACCCACTATTCACACATTCGTTTGGAGTTTTGCAGCGGCAGACACTGCGCGCGCACTTTCACACTCTCAGCTGGAATAGTTTCGAAGGAAAATGAACACCAACAAATTATAACACAGTTCTTCTGTAGAAAAGCCGATTCTTCTGGGTTTATCAGAAGACCATATAGATATAGTAAATCTTTATAAACAAGTACAAATACAGAGTTTTTCAATATAAAACATGACAATTACACAAAGCAGTAACTGTTGTAGACAAAACTAATATACAATTAAATCTGTACAACACCGACCCGGATCCAACGTAAGATAGTACACGAGGCAGACACCGGGAAGCAGTCCCAGATCCGGGAGGAGCTTGGCCGTGGGTACGCTTATCTCGGCTAGGATGGCGTCGACAGAACTACATCGATCGAAGACGTCTCTTCGAACGGGGTTTACGATTGCCACGCAAGACCGGGACGTAAACACGAAAAAAGTAAAAAAGCAAATTTGAAGAGAGACAACTTACGCCACGCCGATAGGAAATGCCGCAAAGTACGCGATACACGGCGTCGAATCGAAAGCCGTTAGCGCAAACCGAGCTAATCCACATAGTCGCATCAAAATGTATCGTTTCTATTTATTACGTTTGCTATTTGCTCCCACACAAAGTACTATACGTCCGGGAACCGTACCGCAAACCTACGAGGGTGGTAGAAAAGAACAGGCACAAATTATCCCTTACACAATAGTATATCGGGACACGACATTCTCGGACAAAAAATAAATGGCATCCGTAGACGTATCGAACACCCAGAAAATACAAAATACGTACACCCGAAAAACAATTAAATACTCGGAACTGGCCCACCAAGTAAAACGTGGGTGGAGAACGCGTAGTTGCGGCGCCCGTAGTCTTCTGGCACGGGCTAGGCAAAAGTCCGGCTACGTTAAAGCTCGGCAACGGTACGGAAGGCGGCTTAGGTCCTAACTATAAAGAATTAACGCGCCAAAACCGACAACGGGCGAAATAGAATGGCCACAGAGAGAGAATTAGCGGAAGGTCTAATAACGTGGATTTACTTTGGAAAACCGGGAGAGAATTATAAACCAAGACTAGGTAAATAATGCCTCCTCGGAGGCGTTATTTACCTAGTCTTGGTTTATAATTCTCAGCCCGGCAGGTTTCCTCAACGCCTCCGACCAGGCGTTGAGGAAAACTGCCGGGGAAAGGGTCGTTCGTTTAAATAGGAAACCGGAGAACGCTACAGGAGGGTGACCGAAAATTTTGCAATAGGAGAAAACCATCCGCGACGAATTAGCGTTTATTGTTTTAATAGTAAACCCAGTACCACGCATTACGCGTAAATAAATTTGCTCCGTGGCTATTAGTGTAAGCGAAACGTGATATTTTTTTATAAAACTGGTCTCAACCCGGAAACGATAATTTTTGCCCCTATTATAATACAGTAATAGTTTTGTTAAACTTTTTACGTAATTGAAGCGCGCAATGCCGTAATGTGGTAAAAGCCATTTTTCTATACGTTTTATTAAAGAATAGAAAGAATCGACGCTTTGTTGCAAAAATATCGGCAGCGTAAGTCGAATTTGGGATGCGCCAAAGTCGAAACGTCCACATCTATATTTACGTCATTTTGATATTCCGGAGAATTCGTAACCTAGCGAGTTTTTTACCATTTTATTGTAGTCCTAAAATCGACTATAAAAATTGTTTTTACCTGTCCCGAAGTTTTTTTGGCACTTAGGCCTACAACATTACGGCATCGCACGCTCCTGATTTGGAGTTTTAGTCGGAGAATATTTTCATTATTACCAACGGAAGATCTTGCGGTAAAATTAAAAGGGCAATTTTTGTTTTTCAGGTTCGAACTGGGAGTTCCGTACGTGGTTCTTCAGAACTGTCACCGTCTTCCCCCGGACCACCTCAAGATATAAAAGGCGCGGCGTCTTCCTCCCGGGCCCGCCCAACAATATTAGCGGCGGCGGACCACCGGTAGTTACGCCCGACGGCGGATTTTCACCGGCAAAATCCGTCAAATACCAAACGCTCGGCCCGCGCCTCGGCAAAAACCGGAACGAGGAGGAGGAAAGAACGGAAGCGCTTAGAATTTTATTTATAAATGCGGGGCGCGGGCGGTTTCGGGCCGGTTCTCTCACTAATTTAAACGTCTAGCGCGGGCCGGCGGGTGGCCTTCTATCCGCCACCCGTCGCCTAATTTTTCCACGGTTTTTTACCGGCTCCGGGCTTTTATATATGGACGGGAAGGGGTGGCGGGCCTTAATTATCTACTGTCGGGAAATCTAAAGAATTTCCTTTTAAATTCGAATATTCGCCATTACGGTGTCGACCCGGACCCTTTTAAGTCGTTAAATTTGTAACGCCGGGGAAGAACCGAGCGACGGCGGGGATTCCGTCGTTTACGGTAATCCGGTAAATCGTTACCTCTGTAAAGTTTTTTTTATAAAAAACGATTTCCCGAAAGGAGAAGATCGGGTGCTTTAAATTAAACTAGAAAAGAATGGGTGAAGCGCCTACCCATGCGCGTGCGCCCGGGGCGTCGCCCTATCGACGTTTTACAATCGGGAACCCTTATAATCCGTTATTTATCGGTCCCCGCATTTCCCAGGACGGGACGGACCCCGCCCCTTTCCGCCGGACGGGACGGACCCCGCCCCTTTCCCAGGGGGACGGTAAATAAATAAAATACCGGGTCTACGGTTCCGGTCGTTGTTAGCGCGAAATAACGTTATCCCAGCGGTAAAGAACGTCCGAGGTGGAGGGTTATTACCGGGTTTATAATTAATAATTTTACCGGGAATTGTTTTTTTCTCGGATTCCGACGTCGACCGGATCTCCGATACTTAGCGGACCCAATTACTTTGTATAACTTATTGTTTAATCCGTTTTATTTACGTATATTAATAAACTGAAAGAAAAACAGTTTCCTCTCTCATTACTTCGTATATTGACGCCACTGTACCTAAAAATACCGCGGCCCGATGCCAAACGAAGAATTCCCAGGAACTTCTACCGGGAGGATGGAAAAGCGGAGTGGACTCTAACCGAAATGGCAAAATTTCCGCCATAGAGTGGCGAATGCCCCGTTTTCCGATTGGGTTCGGGCCGTTTTAAATACGTTTTCCATTTCTTTTTTCGTAAATTGCCAGCGGTCGAATTTTCGGCGCGGCACTTACCGGTTTTCGGAAACTAAGTTTACCGGCCAAACGAAACTTCCTTATTAACGAATACAGTCGACCCCCCTATAACACGGTAGATACGGTCCGTTTTTTATGAAATTGATGTTTTAGGAGACCTTGCCAATCACAGCCCGGCACGTGTGCAGTTTACGGACTTACGGCTGTTTGAAAGGTTTTCTTCCATAAAATTAATCGATTCCTAGACTAATTCGACTCAACATTTCCAAAACACGTATATTTTTTTGGGAATAATCCGTATAAACTACGCTATAAACAAAAAATTGTAGGATTACTTACCATTGCTTAAGCTCGTTTTCGTCGCGGAGCGGCGCATCGAACGGCGGGCGCGATTTCTGATAAGTTATTTTTCTGCGAAAACTTCGTTGAACTTTGGAGACATCATTAATATAAATAATTTTTATGGCCGTTGAATAAGAAATGTTTCTTTCACAAGAAATGTATAAAATTAGTGCTGTATCAGACTTACGGTACCTAATTTACATACTGTACAGACGATAGTAAACTCAACTTACTCGTGTTTGTATACTGGCACAATGAAGTGATCTTTATCAACACTTGGCAAGTTTTCAATCTTTATTCAGTTAGAACGCCGTGCTACACATTTGCGTTTCGGCTTTTAGTTGCTCTTCAGCAAGTATAAAATAACATTCAACAATAACATAAATTAAAATTATACAGTAAAATTGATTTCTAACCAGTGAAACATACCTCACTCCAATACAGACGATAGTAAACTCAATTTACCCGCCTAAACTCTCCGTAGCGTGGCGCTGGACGGCGGAAAGTAGTTCGGCTGCCCGATGACGTTTTACCGAATTATAGGAGTTTTTTTTATTATGTTTGTACGGATACCGTCGCAATTTTTTCGCCGTCATATAGGAATCCGAACTATAGGAACCCGTGTTATAGGGGGTCGACTGTATTTCGTTCCACCCGGCGCCCTAAGTCAAAATCGGACTTAAAATACGAGAGGTGACGGCTAAATGCGCGAGAGACGAGACTACTTTTAAATATCCCATTTTACGCTCCTTCCAAACGTGTAGTTTTTATTCGTTTTAATATAAAATTTTCGAGGAAAGTCCCGGCCCCGATGTGCCAATCCGGCATTAGGGTGGAAAGAATTCATTTCTTAGACTTAATCCAGTGTTGTTTTTATATTTCGATAGTAGAATCCGGGAACGGAGTTAAGTTTCGACGGGTGGCGTAGGTAGGCGTCTAAATTTGACGGCCCACTAATGGACGAGCGGTCTTCGTTCCCCGAATTCTGGGAGTTGGAACGGGCTGGCCACGTGGAGTTTTCCGGGATTTCTCCACGTCCGTAACGCCTAAACGGGTGCCAGTTTCCCTTAAAAAGACCTCCGGAAAGCATTCCCCTAGGCAAATCGCCCGAGTGTCGCGTTGCCATAACTAAACAAACAAATTGACCAACTAGTCGGAGGACGCTCGAGAACCGAGATTCCTCGAGGGTAAAGCTGGAGAAGAGATACGAATCCGGGCTGGTCGTCGCTTCGGATTCATTTATGCCCGTATCTGGTATAAATAAACATCAAAAACTGATTCCCTAACTATTAAATTTATTAGAGGACGAGCAAGAATTCCGTCTACTCGATACACCGGTATACTGTCGTAAGTCGTTCCGATTAAGCGTTTTCGTATTCCGCTTTACAGTCGCGATTCCCCCGTTTTTCGCTTTTGCTGGCCGACTAATGTTTTTTCTATTGGTATTATTATTTTTCGGGATTGACATTAGGATTAAACAATACTAAATATAAATATCCGTTACTTATTTTTACTCGCAAATTATTTACGTATGGTAAATAATTTTAATTTCTATTAAATATGTTAAATAAAAATTACTTTTATCTGTATTTTAGTAGCGAAAACCACCCAGAAAACAAAGACGATATTAAAACGATTATGCGAAATGTTTAATGTTGCCGAATTCGGCAACATTAAAACTGCGCGTTACGATCATTTATTTAAAAAACTTTTTGCATTTTATGATAATCAAAAATATAAAGTTTAATTTTGGCGTTAGGCACGAGTTTTATTATTTTTTATAAAGTAAATGTTAAAATATGTGTCGACCCCTCTGGACTTTTAAACATCAAAATTTAATAGTATCGATTCCCCGCATATATAAGCCACCGCACCACCGCCCGTCTCGACGTATTAAAGGAAATACGCGCATCCGCGGAATCTCAAAATGGGAAGATGCGCAAAAATCTCCAATCGAATTTAACACCATTCCGATACCTTCCATCGTTATAAGAGATGGTAAAAACGAAACTTTTTAATCCAGACGTTAGCCGGAATTGTGTTCGTTTTCAAAATTTAACGGGCCGATTTCGAAGGAAAAAAATTGCCATTTCCCATTAATTGGAACGATGAATTCGAAGATGTCCCTTTTTCGGATCGCGGCAAATATAAGGTAGCGATGGGCACAATCGATTTTTCATTCGATTATAGCGAGAAGAATCGACCGAATTAGTCGGATTATTAAAAATATGCAATATTTGCACGGTTTTTAATTACCTAACAGTAAATATAACATTACATACGTAACATTGATTCCGTTGTCAGCTCCTACTACGATGCTAAAAAGTTAGTGAAAACTAGAACGAAAAGCCTTTAAATCGAAGCAGATGGCGCTTTAAGTAATTTCCGGTTGGGTTGGGTGGAAAGCGTGTCGGGCGTCTGGCTACTCGGCTTTATCGCCCCGCGAAACGCGCGGGAATAATGCCTTTCAGGAAGGTACTTCCGGGGAGAGCTGGCTCCTATTTAGGCGTTACGGAGGCGGAGAAAACCCGGAAAAACTCCGCCAGTCGCCAACCCACGCCCGAACTTCCGGTGTTTAGGGTCTGGTCTCCACCGACGGGCGGGGACGGAGTCCGCTCGGCCGCCGGTGTAATTTCCAATGTCTGGATTCGTCGAATTAAAATAAGGAAAATCGTTAGAATTTATTTTCTAATTTAATAAAAATTTATAAACTAAGTTTTCTGAAAATACAGTATCTTTTCTATATACAGTATTACAACATTTATATTCTCACGCTCTAGTGTAGAAGGAAGCTACAGTAAACAAGTTTGATTCAAAGTATATCTTATTATTAATCAAATACAATAAAACCCGTGTAACCATTATTATATTTTCCTTTCAGGTAAATCTAATGATGGTATCGGACCACGGAACGATGCCCGTTAATCAAGATATAAAGATAATTCGAATCGAAAGCGCCATAAAACTCGACGATGTTCGTCTTACACTAAGTCGCGGTCCCGTGTCCACGATTCTCCCTAAAGAAGGAAAAGAAGCTAAGGTTTAATTATATTTATCTATTCACTTATTTAAAATTATACAGTCTAAACTCGTGCATATGTTATTTACTCGTTATCCAACAGGTTTTCGGACGATCGAGATAAGATAGTAGTACAATACGCTAATTAAATGCGGAAAATATGGTTTAATTACATTACGTAACACACTATGCCTTGCAAAATATTTTACTAACCGAGGTATTCGGAAAAACCATCAGAAGGGGATGCAGCCGCGCTCCGAGCATCCCTAAATCCACCCCGGGGTATTCGTCGAGTTCGAACTGGCGATACGATAAGTAAGCTTACCAATAAACTAAGGAAAACGTGAAAAAAAGTGCGTACGGCACTGGACGAAATCCGAACTCGCCTATTTCAATAAACACCGGTTGTAATCTCACCCTATCCGAAGTATAAGTGTTTGGGGTAAGCAAGAAATTTAAACAACAAATCTTTTTAAGAGGAGACTCTTAGGATAATTATAGCAACAGCGGTGTATCGAGATTGAAAAATTTATCATCTAAACCAGCGTTTTTCCACCGTTTTTTTTAATCACACTCGAACCTATAATTAAATGCAGAAAAATGATTTAATTTAAAGTTGTGTCCGTAAACATTCTATCGCCATATTACTCGCCGCTTAGCCTAATCCTTTTTGTCTATATTCTTTGCCAACTAAATAAAACAATATCGTTGTTCCTTAAAATAACAGCATTAGTAACGTACGAAATGGGTGAAATAACCTTTGTTATCCATCAGAATACGACGAATCTCGGAGGGATCAATTTAGCTCGATCAGTATCGCGTCATTGACAAATTATTAAATGAGAACTAACCGAAGCAAAAACAAACCGCGCTTGGTTTTTCACAAGACCATGTCTTGTTTATAAAATCGTACCGTCCGCCGCGTTACCGGCTTAGAGGTACGAAGGAATGTACTGTACGTCGGCGGTGGCAATTCGGCACAGAGTATTAGGTGCCCGAATCGTGCGCGTACGAAGAAAACCAGACTCGTAGGTAGGTACTCGGGGACCGAGAACCGAGTGGAAATAAAATTCAAAATGGCGACACTCTCCGGGCAGTAGCGCGGGATTCGCGCACGCGTTGCCGGTTGGAACGCGAACGGTGAGAAATCGAATTTTGACCAACGAATCTTTGAAAAAAAAAAATCCATTTACCTGTCCGAGCTATTCCCGACGCGTCGCCACCCGCCGACCTCGACCGGTCGACCCCGGATGTCTCGTTCGGTCGTCGGAACGTTTTCCAAATTAGATGGCGCCAGTCGTTATAATTTTATATTAAAACTAACTTCCGAAATATAATTTGTTTTCTTTTTACATTTATTAATATATATATATTGTTGGCGCGCGATAAAAAATAATTTCGGACGATACGGTAACCGGGATTATTTTTTCCAAAACCGGGAAATTTTCGTTAGGCGCGGACAAAAATTTAAAGGAGAAAAATTAGAACAACGCTGTTCTAAAATACAATACAAAAATATAACGGAACGTAAGAATAGTCTATAACAATATATGTTTATATGCACTGTACATTGGCCTAGCCAGAGTTTTGTTACGGGGGGCCTAGTACGGGCCAGCCCGACACAAAATCCAATTATTTCAAATTATTATTCGTTAAAATGAAATTTCCATAGGAATCGACGATAACTTAGCGCGCGTATAATATGAAACTTCCTTTAATTATACGTTCTCGTAACGTTAATATCAAACTCTAGCAATGCCTTAAACAAAAATCGACCCATCAATTATTTTTTTACCATTCCTTAATATAGTTCGATCTAGACCGGGGATGGCCGACAGTTTTCCCCCGGGCCGAATTGGAAAGAAAACTTTCTTGGCTGGCCCGACCGGAGGCGGCCCTAGCGAGATTTTCGGGTGATGGCAGATCTTATTGCGGGTCACCCCGTAGAGACTAAACTGTACGTAGAGATTACGGATACACTTTTGGCATTGGGCGCGGAAAGCCGTTGACCTTTTTTTAGGGGTCGGAATTTCTCGACTTTTCTATCGCTTCGCGTTGTGAGGATATAAGCAATTATCGCGGATCCATTCGAGCAATTATTCCAAGTTAAGTTCAATATTCAAATATTAATCGCGGGCGGCGTAAATTTGTTAAACGAGCCGTACGTCGGCTATGCCCGATTTAAACTTTCGGCGGGTACAAAATAAACTTAAATTAGTTTCGTCTTTTTCTTTTCGCAAATCGGCTCCACACTTTTTCGGCCGTAATTTTCTGGGGAGAGGCACCGGGTTAACTGGGGGGCCGTGCCCACCCGCGCCCCTTCCCGGCTACGCCCGCGTATATATACGATCCTTTCCGATATAAACCGACTGCGTTCCGAGCTCTGGTTAGAAGGGCCTTTACCTATCGCGGTAGTGCAGTCGATGGGCGGGAGACGGACAGAACGGCCGGAACTCTTTAAGGTACAGAGAGGATACGATAAGAGGAACGACTAGAAGCTACAAAACCAGCGCGGCAAAGACTCCGGGCGGCGATATCGGTAGAACGACAAAGTTGGCGTGGAATAGAAATACCAAAGTGGCGACGAAAGAAATCGCGGACCGCAAAATAGTTTCGAAAAGAGCTCCGAACCTCTATACGATATTAAGGAAGGACGAAGATAGCCTTAATAAAGACGGAAAGGCGGAGATGTGCGGAATTCCGTAATAATTTTGCCGGTAAATCTGTTAAAATAAGACCGAAGAGCGGCATTAAGCCCGAAATGCCTATCCTTTCCTATCGATAAACCGATCTTTTACCACTAAAAGTGTTCCCGCGTGATTTGTTCTCGACGGCGACCTTACGCTAAGAAAATACGCAAAGAGAAGAGCGAGCAACCAAGTTTTAATAAATTAAGTAAAAAATCGTTTGTCTTTATCCGGATTAAACTTTTATGGCTACTTAAATGTATCGGAGGATAAGCTACGGTTTTTTTAAGTATATCGTCGTATATACGTAATAAAACAAAAATAGTAAAATGCAAATTTATTTACTTATTTTACCATTACGTATTTATTAAACAGATATATCACGCGCGGAACGTTACGTACAAAACTTTCATCGGCGATACGTAGCGATATAACAGTTTTAAACATTATAAAAGAGTTTCTCGTCTGGAAAATTATTAAAACTAATAACTCAAATATTACGGTAGATATAACGGAGAGTGTGGCCACGCTACCGGTAACTTTAAAATGACAGAAGTTTGCATTCCGACGACGGGACTATCATTTTTACCTTATCGGTAGAGTGGCGGTAGTCTCCGTTATTTCTACCGCGGTATTTGAATATTACTTTTAACTACAGATGCCACGAATATTCGGCCTATTCGGCTACTTTTTTTAATATTCGGTATTCGGCCGAATGTGGCGTACTATTCGACCGAATACCGAATACCAAATGGTGAAAAAAAAAACCGCGCATATTACTCAAAAACGTATTTAATTTAGTCACAAATTATACATTTAATACTTAAAATCTATCAGTGTGAGGAATGAAAAGAATTTTTTCGGCATTCGTCGATAGCGAGCGATGGCGCTTTTCCTCGTAAACTATACCCGCTTCCGAAAATAGCCTCTGGCTATATACGCTACTGTCGGGAGACGATAGACAAATCTTAGCGAATTCCGTCGGGCTGGGATACCGTTTGGCGTTTGCCGACCACAGCTGGTAAAGGTCTGCCGTCCGACGTAGGTCGACAGTTTTCGCATAAAGCGATACAAACGGTGATATGTTTTAGTAATAAGGACTATTAGTAACGCGATTTGACGTAACGATGAACAAATAATGCGTGTGGCCACGCCATCTACTGGCGAATAAAACCAATGCCCCGGCGGTGTGGCTACCGCGCCCACCGCCACCAGACGGGCCGTAACCCGTCACCCGCGAAACGTACACGTATTTTGCCGAACATTCGGCGCTTCGGCCGAGAGCGTAGCCGAATATTCGGTATTCGGCAAAATCACTATTCGTAGCATCGCCAGTTTTAACGGTTTTAAACGCATCTCTATTTAAAATAAGGATAAATTAAATGAAAAATAGTTATCCTCGTCCGTAATTTAAAATCATCATCGTATTGTTATTTTTTTGTAAACCAAATACATTTTTTCTTTATACGTGATATAAAATTAAAAAGTATAATTACGACGGAAGAATAAAAAAAGTTATAATTTATATAATAATTAACTGTAGCCGAGAGTATAGCGCCAGCACCGGTCCCGACCAATAGACGTTTTGAAAATTTTTTCGTCACCGTTTTGAATTTAACGGTAATTTTCGGACGAAATAACGTCGAGTATAATTCCGTCGTCCGGCAATTCTTCTCCGCTTTACGCTTTTAATATTCCGAAATTTTAGCGTTATTTTCTACGGAACTGGACGGCGCTAAAGTCCTAAAGGAGGGGAGAAATTGGCAGCTAAACGGCGCGGTATGGACAAAAAACCAGACGGGTGGACGGCCGATAAAAAAGGCGGGCATCCCGGACGGTTCCCAAAGACATTCTTAAGCCGAAGGCGGGGTGGCCGGAAGAAATTACGGTACTCGCCGCCACAAAGCATTTTTTTCTTCTTTTTCCACACCGCAAAAGCGTTTTCGTCACCGACGGAGAAAAAATACGCTTCCGGAACTCGATGGTCCGGGATTTCGTCCGCCCAGCGAATTAAGTTTCCCGTAAGATTAGGCACGGAGTGGGAGCGCAACTCGGATTAGTGGCGTAAAAGTAATACGAAGAAACGCAGCTAACGGCGTCCCCTGGCGTTCTTTTCACCACTTTAATGAAAAACGAAGCCTAATTAACCGGTGGTCCACCGACGTGTCCTCGTCCGGACTTGTAAAGTGCCGCATTACCTATTAGGACCGTGTTCGTATCGTATATTCTTAATCACAACAACTACGTTCCTTTTGGCTTTAACTGAAATGCGTAAACCCGCGTCGATGATCGCCTACGCCAAGAACACGCGCGGATAATCGGACGAGGTGGGCGACCGTATCGAAAACTTTCCAACGTCGTTAGTCGTAACGAGTTTTGCTCGACGAATTACTTTACACGCGGTTAACGTTTCTAAATTTTCTACCGATTCTAGAGTCTGCCACGCGGATTAACTCGGCTTCTCCCGCCTGGTGAACGCCATTCCCGGTTTGTTCAAATCTTAAATTCTCCCACGCATTTATCACCACTCTCGACACTCCGCCCAAACTCCCCCCGCGGTCGGCGGTTTTCCGCCGCCAGAAACGGGTCAAGGCGCGGCTCCGTCCCCACGGGAAACGCCGATCGCTTCCTTTTTAATGGCGCGGCCGACTAAAAACAAACAAACGCTGCCCGCATTCGCCCCGTCATGTCTCCGCCGTTCCGCCTCCCCGCTTTCGGTCTTCTGATCGTCGCCCTTCTCCTTTTCTCCTCCGCCTCGCCCCAACGGGAAAGACGTAAGTACGCGGCGCCGCCTCCCTCCCCGCCGGGGAGGAGAGGGGCCCTGGGTAATCCGGATAAATCGGCAGGAGGAAGCCGGGGATCTTCCGGGACGCGGAAGAGAGCCGCCACGGAGAACGCGCGGCGGATATGGCCCCAAGGGGTGATTCCCTACGAGATGGACCCGGGACTGAGTCGTAAGTCTCTTCTTCCTTCTCCTCTCCGCGGCCTTCCACCCGGTCTAACGGCTCTTTATTCGCAGACCTAATGCAGACCCTGATCCGAAAGGCCGCCGACGAGTGGGAGTCGCGCACCTGCCTCAGATTCGTCCCCGTGGCTCCCTGGCACGGATACCGAGTCGTCTTTAAACCCGGAAGCGGATGTCGGTGAGTAACGCCGTTACGCCCGGCTGGCGGACGGAGACGTGACGGTTAAAGAGGGGGCCGTCTTTTCAGCCGGGACTCGGCGGTGGGCAAGAACTCGGACAGACAGGAGGTGGCGCTGGACGAAGAGTGCGGCGACCCGTCGCTGCTGCTGCACGAGCTGGGACACGTGGTGGGATTTTACGACGAACAGAACCGACCCGACCGCGATCGACACGTCCGAGTGCTGTTCGAGAACGTCCGAGACGGCAAGTACCCTTTTTTTTTTTCTTACCGGCGGGGGGAGTCGGGACCTGACCCGAGTCTTTCTTTCCGCAGAGTACCAGGCCACTTACAAGAAGCGCTTCGCTTTTCTGGTGGATTCCCTGGGCTTTCCTTACGACTTCGACAGCGTCATGCACCTCAGACCCTCGGATCACGTGACGGCCCCGGGGAAGAAGAGCATGACGCCGGTGGATCCGTCGGTCTCGTTGGAGAACGGCAGGAAGAGGTTGAGCGCGGTGGACGTGGCCCAGACCAACGAGCTGTACGGATGTCCGAGTGAGTAGCCATCCTTCGCCTAGGAAAGCGGTAAACGGTTCTGACCCCCTCTTCGTTTAGAGTGTCTGACCAACCGGTACGAGGTGACGGGCACCGTGTCCGGCCGACCGGATCTCTGGCCCCCGCCGGAAGGAGAGGAGGAAGACGAGTACTGTCGGTGGTACGTCAGGAGGAAGCAGGGAGAGTTCGTCGAACTGGTCGTCGACTTCGTGGACATTCCCGGCAGCGAGGATTGTTCCGACGGCTTCTTGGAAATTCGAGACGGATATTGGGATCGATCTCCGATTTTGGGTGAGGCGCCGGAAGGTTTTTTTTTTCATTTTTAGGGCTCCGCTCCGTCCCTGTTAATTATATTTCCGCCTCCTAAAGTCGCGCCCAATCTTCCTATTTTCCGGGAGCGCGGAATATTTTGGACCAGTCTGGCCCCTGTAAAGCGCGTTTTCCGCTCGAGCCGCGGACTCGGCGGAAAAGCCCCCCGGCCGGGAAATTTTATACGATTTTAGACGGAAATTTAGAAAGGCCGTCGCCCTTTTAACCGGCGCCGGTTTCTTCCGCCTTCAGGCCGTTTCTGCGGGAACGCTGCCGGCGGCAACGTTTTCAGAAGCAGCGCCAACTCCCTGTTGATCGGGCAGAAGAAGAAGCGCAACTCTACCGGATCGTTCGACGTCACCTACAGAAGTGAGTGGACGGGTGTGTGGGGGAGGGCAAGCCAACGTTGCCGGATAACGATCTCTGTCCGCAGCTACCTGTTCCGGAAAGGTGGAGGCCGACGTGGGTGTGTTGGAGAGTCCGCAATTTCCCAGCAGTTATCCCCTTCATCCCGAGTGCGTGTGGATCGTCACCGTCTCCCCCGGATTCAGAGTCTTCTTCCGCTTCCGGTTCTTCGAGGTGAGTGGCGCCGCCGTTTTCCGGTCCGCGCGGATTCGGGGGCGGAGTGACCCGCGGGTGGCTTTGTATTTGCAGATGGAGGAGGGAGGAGACTGCCGGACGGAGTACGTGGAGATTCGAGACGGCGCCGACTACGAGGACCGGTTGCTGGGAAAATTCTGCGGATCCGAGCTTCCCCCCGAAGCCGTCTCGTCCGACAACGTGGCCCTGGTCCGATACGTCACCGACGGGTGGAAGGAGAAGACGAGATTTTCCCTTTCCTTCGTTAAAGGTCGGATCTTTTACTCTTTGCGAGTTTTTAATCGAAACCGGGCGAGTGAAGGGAGCGGGAAGTGTGTTTTCCAGAAACCAACGAGTGCGAGTCGCCCGACAGAGGAGGATGCAGCGACCTGTGCGTCAACACCGTGGGAAGTTATCGTTGCGAGTGTCTGACCGGGAGGCGCTTTCTTCCCGACAACAGACGCTGCGAAGGTGAGAATCCCTTTCCTCGGCGATTCCTACATCCCGTCGAGAGTAATTTATAATGCGAAACGTTGGCAGCCTATTCGGCCACCTGCGGCGGATACCTAAACTTGGAGGAGAGCGCGGTGATAGCCAGTCCCCTGTTTCCCGACAACTACCCCAAGAACAGCGACTGCGTCTGGAAGATCGCCAACAGAAACGTCCTCCTCACCTTCCTCTACTTCGAGGTGGAGGCGTCGGCCGCCGGCAAAGGGGTAAGTCGCCCTCCCACCGGCCCGCGCCGTTTTCCTTCGTTTCCCCCGACTTCTTTTCTCTTTCAGTCTTGCTACGACAAAGTGTCCGTCAGCGGGTCCAATCTGCCGGAAGAAGAATTTTGCGGTTTCCGTCTCCCTCCGCCTCTGAACCTGACGGAAACGGAAGATCTGCGCATCCGGCTAACCTCGGACGATTCCATCGAAACTCGCGGATTCGCCATTCGCCTGGATCCCACGTTTTAGAATTTGTAAAGGGCGAACGATAAAGTCGGAATTCTCACGGCTCGACGGCCTTCCAACGCGGAATAAAGTGGTTAAAGAGTAAAAGTAAACGAGACCTAATTATTGCTTCCCTTTTCCGTTAAAAATCACCCGAGGGGAGGAGAAGTTCGGGCTGCCTCCCGCGGGGAGTGGTCGAGGTCCGAAGCCGACAGTTACGTATACACCTACGATTCGGACCGATGGAAATGAGCACGGAATAGTGTTACCATTCGACTCTCCGTCGACCTTTTTTTGATTTTGTTTGTACGATTTATTCGTATATATATACACCTCCAATATCCAATAGATGTAGGTCATCTTAGGTTACTCCCATCCGAGTCTCCCTAGTCGCTAACTGTAACTGATTTAGAACCGGCACCCGCCGCACATTATTCTTCGCGTGGCAAAATGACGTACGCACGCGTCTGGAACTTCCGTTCGAACAAACCTCACCCGCAGTCCGGGTCGGCGATTTTAAAAAGGTGGCGACGCTAGCGCGGAATTTTCCGTTACTTATTTTGCCAGGAAACCGAATTTTAGCCTTTTAAATCGAGATACCTAAATAAGGGGGCGGCGAAAGTTTCCTCCGCCCCGGGCGGCCGACACCCGCGCTACGCCACCCAACCCAATTATTCCGAAAGGGGATAATTCCCGGTCCGGTCTAGTCCGCGGCCCAGAGAGTAGGATTTTGCACGAATTTAAGTCGGGATAATTGGAAATACTCGCACCACGAAATTCCCAATGGCCGCGCGGTGGGTGGTAAGACCGTTGTAGCGGACTTAAGTGCCGTACGTAGGCTAGCGAAACACATTTTTAAAATAAAAAGTTTTTATTATATACGGTTAAATACATTTTTATAATAACAATTTTTAAATTATTCTTCCGCACGCCACTCGTAAACGTCGGTAATCCTCTTCGAATTACGTTTATCCCGAGAAAAACCCTCTTTAATACGTCCGTTACGGCGGTGAGGTCCGCTAAAGCTCCGACTTTTTCCAAGTTCCCTCCCGATAACGTTTAAGTTTTTTATCCGGAAAAGTTCGGCAACCGGACGCCCAGTTTTTTCTACGGTTTTAGGCCGGCATCCCCCAAACGATACGACGAGTTGCCTACAGCTACAATGGGCTTCTCGGCGGAAGTTCGGAGGGAAAAGGATAAAATGTAAACGTCTCCGTCGTCTTCATTTTCGGTTTACCGGGAATAAAATTAAGTATGGGAACGGAAGAACGGGTATGGTACGTAAGAGGAATACCGCGAGAACGGTATCGGAAATGCTTGTATAAGTCGAAAAAACTGGTTTATTAAGAAGTGGCCGAAGAATGGAGATGGATAATTATCGTCCGATGGTAGCAAAAATTATAGGAAGAGTCTTTTATAATAGATTCCGGAAGTACAGTACAGAAATAAAGTAAACGTTATTCGTCGACGTTCGTTTACGCGCCAAACACACGGTTATCGAAAAACTAGAAAAGTGGCCAATGGTAACCGAAGCGTTCGAAAGCGTAAATTACGCAATATCGGGTGGAGAGGCATTCCTTTACCGCGGCCATCGAGAGGAAAATGCCACATGGAAATCTTTTACACCAAATAAACCAATTGCTCCGCACTGGACATTAGCGCCTCTTCTCTTCGGCGCGTATATACCAGCGACTTCTTTCGAACCGTGCCAGAAGACGATGCGGTAATAACGTCGGTCGAGTTAATGGATTACGCGCAAACAACACCAGAACAAATATCGATAAAACAAATAGAAACAGAAAAGTTCGTCCGGAGGGGACGGGCGTGAAAACGGAAAGAGTCGACGATAGCGGCATCTTTATATTAAAGTACTGTACTTGGCAATTATAATAGACGATAACTTAAGACGAAATTTACCGCCTGGCCTTAGCCAGATTTACGGGAATAATGCAGTAAAATACAAGATGATTCGAACGTGGCTCCGATAAAACGTTTATACGAAAGCCAGATAAAATAGGCGACGGCAAGGCGGATTACCACCCTGGAACACCGCTTAAGTAGACCGGCGGTGTGGCAAAATTATTTCGTCCAACCATAAAAACCACATTAAACGATTACCTAGTCAATAATTTGTATTAAAAAACGGAGGAAATTTCTACCGTACGCATTCCGGCCGTCGATACGGGCCTAGGCCGTAATCGTTTCTACACCCAGCTCTTCTTTTCGTTTTCCGCCGTTCCTAGCCACTGTCTTTTACATACGCGGTCTTAATATATTTTATATAATGTATTATATAAATAAATAAAATACGGTCTTCGGTGAATTACGCCGCCGTTAGAAATCGAGAGAAGAAACTCGGACGGGCATTCGACCTTACCACGTTTTGTCGAGAAAATCGCGCTTTTACGGGTAGGAGATTTTTCCGTCGGGCGTAAGAAAATCTGACAAAAAGGCGGAAAGACCAATTTCCCCTCCCCTTATTAAATGCCAACTTCCGAAGACGTGGGTTTTTTCGTTTTACTCGCCGTCGGCCCGGTGCCGCCACGCGCTTTCGGCGGCCCGTCCCGGTTCCGGAGGCGGAACTTCCCCGAGAATTAGGAATAACTTCCGGAAATACGAGTCATAATTTTGCCATTCGTCGACCGGGTGGACGGCCGGTTCCCGGGGCGGGAGAAGGCCTTAGAAAAGTCTCCGTCCTAGAATTTAACGGGTTTTTCCGCCGTCCGAAACAAATATTTTCGTCCGACACCGGCGGGGGGAGAGCCGTCGACGGCGAAAATAACGCCGTTAGATTTAGAAACGGCGCATTATATAAGACGTTACCGTTTCCGCCCGGCCGGTACTTCCTTATCGGGAGATATCGACGAGAACTTTGTATCCGCCGATGATTTTCGTTCTATTGGAAGGAATTGCCCGCTATAGCGCGCTTAAAAACAATGGTACTAATTACGTATAGATAAAAAATACAGGTGGTAATTTTCTTTTTATCTACACGTAATCGGCACCGTCGGGTAAAATAGCGGCCGCTTATTTCTTGGAGAAACGGTGGGCGGGATCGGCCTTACCCAGCGGGAATACCCAATATTTTCTGGCGGGATTCTACGGACATTATCTTATATAAACGTAATTAACAATTCCGGATTTCTTATTTTAATAACCATTATTACTTAATAAACGCTGGCGCCAAAGCATCTCCCTCTCCCATTCGGACGTCGATTTCGATTACGTTTATGCGACGCTTACGGATAACGTCTTAAAACGCTAGAGTGACCAGAGCCTACAACATCGACGTCTGAAGAAAAAAATTTTAAATTTCCCACACGGGAGATGGCATTTTAATTCCAAATTCGAGTTCGTTTGGGCCGCGACTCGAACGAAATGCGTCCGTCCTTCCGTCCTTCCCCCATCTCCGGAGCGGAATCGGACGAGAATACGTGCGAAAACCTTAGGGTACCAACTTTCGACGCCGATCGAAAGGCGCGTTATTTCCATTCAAAAATTCCCCCCGAAAGACTCCGTTGTTAAAGGAAAAGTGTGACTTACGGGGACGAGCCGCTACTAATTCCAGGCGGAGAGTAGACCTATATATTTTAAACGAAATATATTAAAAACATGATTATTTATTGTAAATGTTATTCCGTGTCCTTTCGAAATTGACCTTCCGTAATCCCTTCTCCGTTTTCGTAATAAATGTTGGCGATTTAAGGAAGCCGGAAGGTGGAAAACGTCACTACTCGGTGGGACGGAAGGAAGTCGGAAGAGGAGATGGTAATTCCCTTTTACATTCGAAATCGGGGGAAATTCCTAACCGGTCGATGGGTTATTATTTCCCGAATATTTTTGTATAATTTGTTCGGAACGGACGATCCTAATCGGACCCAGCCGTAAAATACGACAGAACGGCGTACTTCCGGCGCGCGAGAGCCGTAAGAAAGGTGGAAAACCAACGAATTTAATATAAGTTTGGTTGGCGGGCCGAAAGTCTTGACACCAAAGACACCGAAACGATTCCAAATAGAAACAATTAAAACGTTTAAACACTTAGTAGGAAATTCGCAAAGCCGTTAATTAAAACCGGAAAAGTCCGCCACCGTTCCACTCCTTCCTCGTTCTTTCCCAGTGGCGTAGGCTTCTTACGTTTAAGGCAACTTACCCTCTTAAAGCGTTATCGGCGCAGAAATTGGCCAGTCGTTATATAAAATAGATCGCTCGACTTTTACCTTAATAACGCCGAGAAATTAATCGTCCGACTCGATACACGGAGATAATCGTCGTTCGTCATCGACGTTTCATTCGTTACCCGGTTTCCGACGTCACCGTCGCCCGCGCCGGGATATAAATCGGAAAAAGCGCGTGGCGGGTGCGCAAATCTCGGAAGATGTGTTTCCGAATCACCCGCTGTTGTTGCTTTCCCAACACCAAAGACGGATCTTTCGCCGTCGGAGTTTACACCCTGGTGAGTTCGGCTTTTTTCTTTTCGTCAAACCTTTCCTTCCCTTTTACCCGCCCGTCGATATTTCGGGTTTTCCTCCGTTTCTTCCTTCCTCGACAATTCCTACATTCTTATTTCTCCTAGATTCTTCGTCCATTTATTCTTTCGTAAATATTTCTAATCGACGAATACCTATATATATATAATTGGATTATATTGTTCCTAGCGCTAACATTTAAAAATTAAATTTAACTTAAAGAAAATAGTTATTTCGAAATTTTATTAAACAAAAACCCCAATTATTAACCGTTGCCGAGATTAGAATTTCGCAATTTAATTATTAGAAAATCAGTTTTTGGATTTCGTAACAATCCCTTATAGATTAGATAGGAGCGATTTTACCGACAAGCTATGGCGCCTATCTCGACATCTCCGTTAAACGGCGCATCCTTTTCCCATTTCGCGATAAATTGGTAAAATAATAGGAATCGAAAAGTATCCGTACAACGAAATACGTTCGAATATAACCGATAAATAATATTGGGAAATTTCGACAGTTACCCATTCGGAATCGACATCCGCCTCATTTCGTCGTTAAGCTGGTTCGATTTCCGTCTAGTACCGTAAAACTGGTTTACGGCGGACACTTCGGTGGCTAAGAATGCGTCCGAGATAGGCGGTAGCTTTTGTCCCGAAAGGGTGGAAACGAACGTAGATACGCCCGTGGTAAGACGTATCCGGCTTCCAGCCAATTAAGTTTACATTATCCACCCGTCCATTTTTCTCGGGATACCGCGCGATATTAACGTTGTCAA